AAATTAATTTAGGGACTAAATTATTTTTTGGTATTTTGTTCTTCTCTGCAGAACATTCTGCTTTCAAGCAGTTTTGGCTCCAAAGTTTTATTTTCCTTGCCTGGGAAGGGACTTTCTGCATGTCTACTCAGTTTTCACCTTCAGAAAGAAGAACGCATGAAAAGACACAGAGTAATTCAATGTGTAAAATATGCATATTTTAATTTAATAAGAGAAAAACAGTAAGGGAGAGAGAGGCACAGAACAGTAGCCCCTAGAGCTCTAGTAACTTATCAAGCTACGTGAAATAAAATACAGCATTAGGAATTCCATAAGCGTTCAGTACAGCTGTGTGAGCTTACCATGCTCACTTCTAATTACGGCTCAGGTCAGAGGAAGTACTTAGAAGTGGTCCTTTCAAAAATTCTGTCCCTTTCATTTTTATATTCCGTCTCTCAGATGCTGAAGTGAAAAGTTAATTCCTGGCAGTTCTGTGAGACTGTCCCTCTTTAGGGTGGTTTTGTCAGCAGTGCAATAATAAAGGAAGTATTTAAATACTTAAATCGTTTACTCATAAAGCTCGAGTTATCAATCTCCTGTGAAGAAGAAGAAGAGTAGTTCATGTTTCTTGGGCACAGCAGGAGTTACTGCAACACGCAGCCAGCTTGAGTTTGCCCTCCTCAATGGTTTCTGAAGAAGTGTTGCTGCAACAGCAGAAATGTAGCACAGGTGGTATATGGAGCAATTTGCATTCACTTCATGTTTTAAAATGCCTTTCATACTGCAATTTTTAATTAAACATAGATTATTGACAGCTAATTGTTAAAACTACAGATTTACTGAGCTGTTTGGCACACCTATGGATTCGTAAATGGACAGCAGGTCTTGGTTTTAAAATATTCAATAAATAACATTTTCCACAACACATTTCCTATTTTTAGTGGAGAACCTGAAAGAAATCACAGTGGAGATGTGTAGAGGATGTATGTAATCTATTCATGTAAGGTTTAATACATTACTTTGTTGTTGTTTTAGGAATTGTTTTTATCCATGTTAATTTTTCATCATCATTAGAAATTATTTGGTTTTTGTTTGCTTGTTTATCCAAACAGCTGCAGTGATCAACTATTTGGGGAGTTAAAAGACTGATTCTGGAGATCTCTTTCAAAATGCAACTGGTGTGCTTAAAAGGTTATTTTTATTAGTTGATTATCCCAGTTATTTTCTACTTTAAATCATTGCATTGTAGAGGCCTTTTCCACTAGTCCTGGCCAAAAAGAACAGTGTCTGAATGGAACACATATCTGGTCATTTCCCCATCACTAAAATAAGGAAGAAAATGGCTAAAAAAAAGAGAATTTGGGTTGGATCTATCATTATAAATTGAAGCTTCAAAGTGATCAAGTTTCTGAATTAAAAAAAGAGTTCATATTAGCTATCTAATTTACAAACGAACACAATTTTAAAACATACTTACTAACTTTCAAAAGCTGGTGTTTTATTGAATTTGTGGTGGTTGTACCAGTGATTCTCCTGACATTTGGAAAAGCTGTTTGGTGCTCCTTTGCAGTTTATACTAAACTTAATTCCTCCCAACGCAGAAGTCCTTTGTGTGGGACTGGCACACTGCATAGCCGCAGCGTGGGGTCTCTACACGTGGTAGGTTTTGTCAACAGGGGATCCTGCAGATGTCAAATGTGCTTACTGCTCGTCTTTGGGCTGCAGGATTCAGCCTTTAATTTGCAATAAATGGGAAGGGATGGCATTTTTTCTTGTCTGAGAAATGTTTTGAGAATGATGTGTACAGCAGAACCTCATTAGGGATACTTAACATAGCATGTAGGCTGAAGGTAGGCAAGTCACACAAAATTACTCTGTTTTTTCAGCATAGTGTTTGTATTAAAACTCTGAGAAGTCTCTATTCAACATTTCTTCTCCTCTCAAGTCTTACTGTAAATTACAAACTTAAAACTAACTGTGCTAAGCAATCTAATGTTTGATTATTATTATTTTTTTTTTAATATGGTTCTTTGCCTAGCAGTAATTAACACTTAGAGTCTAAGACTTAATTTTGTGAGGCTCCACACAGATAGCTAAAAAGAAAAGCCTCGGCTCTGGCTGTGAGAACCTTACATTCTCTGTATTCTTATATTGCATGAAGTGGCTTCCTGTAAATTGTGCAATCATACAAAGTTCAGAACTACGTAAACTATTGTGAATTTGCAGTGGAACATCCTTCCTTGTTTGGATCCAGTTGAAATTTCCCTTTGGTAACCAGAGGCACTTCCCAGAGCTTTTGGAACGTTATATGGCCTGAGGCTATGCTACCTGCCCGTGGTACCAGTCACTAGGGCCACTTTCTAGCACATGGCCATATCCACACCATCTAAAGCACAGCTGAATGCTGGGTGGTGGGAGCTGTTCCTGAGTCCATCACCAACTACAAATGGAGCAACAGACTGTGTGAAACTCTGTGAGCTGCCTTTTGCTCATCCCTCATCTGCTTCATTTGGAAAGCAATCCGGGTAACCACCTAATGGTTGAATATCTAAGTTATTGAGGAGAAAAAAAGAGCAGTAGTGCTCAAGTCATAGCCTGTGAGTCTTGCTGAATATCCCATCTCAGTGATAAGCACAGGATGCACTAACAATTGCTTGAAACAGGCATGTTGCCACTAGATTGTGTTACCTCCTTGATTTAGTAGATTTGACTTTGACATTTTCACTCTATGACTGAAAAAAAATATTATACTCCAGAGTAACTTTCAAATTGTTTGTTTAAATTAACTTTCATTTGGATTTATGCTTGATGAAATCTTCAGAGATGCAGACAGCCCCTGTCTAATGAAATGCTGTGTCTTTGAACCAATGAGCGGGGCTGCCAAACTGTAAGGATTCCTCTCTAAGCAAGTGGGCTTCTGTAATGTTACACTTGGGTGGCACAAGCAGAGTGCTCGATGATTAGTTTATGGTCTAGATCATTGTATTTTTATTACACTCATAAAAACTGTGTTTCTCCTCATTTTCGTAATGGCTTCAATGAGCTTCTATACCTTCTAGAGGCACATTAAATTGTTATGTGATGAAAGTACTGATTTAGTGGGGCTAGTTTTAAAGTAAGATACATGTTTTGAATTCTGATCGTAGTCTAATTGCTGACTCAAAAAAGGTGAAACTACGACAGAATGAATGAAATCTGTATCGTTTTCCTTACATAAAGTGAAGGTTGCCAGCTGTGACCCAAAAGGAACGCAGAGACAAAAGAAAATACAACTGATGAATCCATGTCAGTCTGTAAAATAAGTTGTCCATCAGTTTGAAGTATTTTGCAGTTCTTGCAGTGCTGTCAGTTTTTAGCAGGAGGGTGGGAGGATGGATTATATGGGTATTTTGCATGTTAAAATCTTTCCAAGGGGAAGGAAAAGAGAATTAAGATTACTTTTATTCCTTGTATTCAACTGCAATTTTTTTTCATGTGGTTCTCTCCAAAATCATAAATAGGCCTATTCTGTGCAAACCCTACATCAATTTCTTCCAAGTGATTCTAAGCTGTTTTTAAAAGTTGTTTCAATTATGTTACAAAATGGGGAAAAAATAAGCAAGAAAAAATGTTATTTGTTTCTATATATTCAAGCTATTCTTAAAAGAAAAGGACAACATCATTATCCATGAATAGGAAACCTTTTTATTTGATATGTAATTAAAAAAAATAATCCTTGAATTGAATGTATCATCTCATCTTTGCACAGTTTAGACAAAGGCCTTTTTTGTTTACAAAATTTACATGTCAATACAGTCGCTTATAAATATTTCTGTGAAATAAACATAACCCTTCACAAAAAGAGCCGTTTACTCTTCATTCAGTAATTTCATATGCGAGCAAAAAGACAATGAAAGTTGTATGCAAATATAACATCAATGTACAGCATAATAATAACAGTTTTTAGTGATTATGCTGCTTGGTATTAATTCCTAGGAGCCTTTTTGTTCAGCCATGGGCTGTGTTTGGAACAGAGATGCGCCAGACCAGAGCATCTTGTTCTGCTGTTGATGTGAGGCAGCCACAACTCCTTCCACTGAGATTCCTGTGCTCTGCTCTGTGGCTAGTCTGAGTTATTGAGATCATGCTGATTGTGAAGATGCAGCTCCCCTTCATTTGTGCTGTACCTGTGTCTGAGAGGGCACTGTCTGCAGCATGGCTTGGGCTTCCCTCGTATTGCTGGGAGAGAAAGAAAAAAAAAGAAATGTAAGAAGGGAAGGAAAGGGTTAGGAAAAAGGGGAGAGGTTGAAAGAAAAAGATAGGAAAAAAAAATAGGAAGGAGGGAACAGGAAGAAACAAAAGGATGAATGAAGAAGAAAGTATTTCCACATTTGCAATAATTCTTTTCCAATTGTGTGAAAGGATGATTTCTCCATTTGAAAAGTTTTTGGAAGAAGATATTTGGTCAGTTTATTTTTTTCCCTTGCCCTTTGCTTATTTCCTTATTATTGCTGAGGTGCAACTTTTGTGCCTCTTATGCCTCTTTCAGCAATGCAGCAGTTCTGTAGCTTTGGCTGTGTGGAAAGCTGAGAAGAATCAGGGATGAGGACACACAGGTTTCAGCAAATGGGACTTTAGCAGGTCAACGCAATGCTAATGGCATATCTGTGCTCCTTGGGTATTCAGCATCAAACACCAAGGAGCTGCATGTTTTGCAAGCATTGTTCAGTGCTTCCTTTGTGGATCTAAAAGTTTGGTAGAAAAGCATTTGAACGCAATACCAGGAACAAGGAGAGAATTTACAGAAGACGTGAATTGAAATCATTGGAAATTCTTTAATATTTCATGGATGCCTGCAAAATATGGTGCCGGTTTATTCAGGGATTTGAAAGCAGCTGCAGAGTAAAAGTGTCTAATGAAAATGAAATAAATTTCCTGTGAATGGAATAAATTTTGATTGTGTGTCTGAGTGCAGTAATTATACATGTCACGCAGTAATTAGGCAGTCACAGTGTGGCTATGGTGTCTTTCTTTGTCTGCAGATGGTCTGGGAGAACGGCTGTGTCGTTATTGTCATGCTGACACCCCTCACGGAAAGCGGAGTCAAGCAGTGCTACCACTACTGGCCCGACGAAGGGTCAAACCTCTACCACATCTACGAGGTACTGAGACAAAGCACTGGGTGTAAGCAGGACAGGAAGAGCATGGCTTCATTTCATATGGGGCAAAATGCCGTTTCATCTGGTCTAACCTGTACATCTTAAGTAGCCTCGGTTTGTCTTTGAGTAGTCGTAGGTTTGCCAGAAATTTGGGTGGTTTTAATTGCCTGGTGGCTTGCACCTACTAACATCGTGAACTGAGTTACAGGGGAGTAAGGACAATGATTTTTTTGTCTTTAAAACAGTCTTGCAAGTGGTTGATATACAGAAATGTATATTTATTTTTTATAGGACTAATAGTATTTTTAGAACTAGTGAATTATGCCTTAGGAAAGCCATATGTGTATGTTTGTAGAAAAGCATCCATATAGCTTTCGTAATTAATGCTATCTATCTTTACCATTTGCCTCAGTCACAACAATGAATATACATTTTTATTTTCTGCTATACATTGCTAGCCCAAAATACTGTGTCATCAGTTTTGTTGAAATGTAGCCTTGACAATGGCTGTCGTGTTTTTCCAGCTGTCTGGCTGAGCAGAGGAAGAAAATAACACCACAGTGCCAAATAGAAATAGGAAAATATCAAGGACTATTGCTATTTAAACTAACAAGTGAAAAAGCTTCCTTTCTGAGAAGACCCAGCTCTGAAAATAAGTTCTGTTTTTATGCTTATTTTTCTACATAGGTGAAAATTTGACTTTTAACTTCTCACATGAATTCCACTGTGAGATTTCTAAGACCGCTCTGGTGGGCTGAGCAATGCATGGTGGGCATTTCTGTGTGCACAGCATCTGGCAGGCTGGTGTATTTTTAGGCAGTGCCTTTTGCATTCATACAGTGTCAGGTTTCAATTTCGTGTTTTTTCCTTTCACATTAAAACTATCAGCATATTTTTTTAGTGTTCCCAACGAGATAGCAGAGGTAGCTAACCCCTTCCTGACACAACGGATTGCTAGAGAAAGTTATTTTCACAGCGATGCTCAATTTGGTAATAAAATTTCCTGCAGTTCCTTCATCCAGGGCATCTTACACCTGCAGTTCTGAAGTTGTGGCTTGCAACTGCAATTCTTGATCTCCATTTGTTTTCTGGGGTGCAGGTAAACCTTGTCTCTGAGCACATCTGGTGCGAGGATTTCCTGGTGAGGAGCTTCTACCTGAAGAACCTGCAGACAAATGAGACCCGCACGGTGACACAGTTCCATTTCCTCAGCTGGAATGATCAGAGAGTTCCTGCTTCCACAAGATCGCTGCTGGATTTCCGCAGGTAAAGCACAAAGTATGGAAATTTATTTAAGACAATTCAAATCTGAGAAACTAAACTTAAACTAGTTGTAATACTGATAATTCTCTTCTGGGAGGGCACCCTTGTGATGCTGCAATGATAAACTAACATAAAAATCTGCAATGGATTGATTTTTGCTATTGCCTCACGAATAGATACGCTCAGTTCCCATTTAGAGATTGCTGCCTTCTTCTCTTTGTACAGCTCTTCAGTGCTTCTGTACTTCTTTGTTTTCCAAGTATTTAGCCGTCTGGAACTTCCAGGCCTTCCGTGTGGCTCTCCTATGATCCTTATTGCAGGCATCTCACAAACAGAGTGCATTGTATGAGCACGCTTAAGGAGAAAATCACACTGGAGTCACATGGCAATAATGGCATTACCATGGTAGTGTTTGCTTGTGAGGCCTCTGGACTTTCTTTGGTTGAAGAAAAGGGGAAATTGGAGACAGCAGATGAAAATGTTGTCAAAGCATGCCCTCTAGGATTTTAAAGAAAGTCAGTATGGCTTTAAAATACAGACGAAGGCAAAACTGTGAAGACTTGTCACCTTCCCTCATGTCTGCTGTGTCTAAGTTTTAATTTGAAAATTAAAGCCGTGCATGATAAATATTGGAGAGAAGTAATCTTCACTTGATTGCAAACCATGCCCAGCACACCACGTGTAGGCGTTAGCATGTACCCGCTAATCCACTGCAGTGTGCTCATGACTAATGAAAAGAATCTCTGTGAGGTTTCAAGAGTTGGTTCTCAATCCATGAGCAGCCTCTGGGATCTCCCATTTTCTTTTCTGTGCTACAGTGTTATCCACAACCCCCCAAAGTGATTATACAGGGCTCAGGGCCCAGAAGGTCCAATCTTATTTCTTTCAGTCAGTGCTTGGAGCTTTGATGCAGAGATATGCATCTGAGGTGATAAGCTGGTTTATGTCCAAGCAGGACCTGGTTGCTCAGTTGTCTGCTGGCGCAATTTTGCCCTTAAAAATTTAGGGCCAAATGCCACCATTTATCCACCAGTAGTCTTTTTTTTTTTTTTTAATGTATTGCAAGCATTCTCAAGGCAGAGCCACCTCAACCATTGCAAGTCAAGTGACAGAGTACAGCAGTCACTGAGAGCTGGGGCTAGGTAAGATCATAAGGACGTGCTCCAATCACACCACAAGAACCATAGTGGAAGAAGGAAGGAAGCATAGTCATAGGTTGGAGTTGAAACTGTAACCGAATTTTTTCTGAAGTTCTCTTTTCTGGGTTCAAATACAGATTTTAATGTGATTTTTATAAGTTGGTTTTCCTTTGCTGGTGGTATTGAAGAAGTTGCCTGTAGTGAATTTTTGCTAAATGGGTTTTGCTAAGCTGTGCAAAGCTACCACGCTGGTTCAACACAGTGTCTGATTCTGCTTTTTGAAGGTAGTGGGAAATTTGGTGTCACTTGACTATAAATCAGCCTATACAACCAGAACATCTGAAGCTTGGAGCACCTCAACTCCTGTTTGAGTCGTTAAGACTTAAGATCTATCTGTGAACTGCAGGGTTAGGTGTCTCAGTTTGCATCACCAAGGTGCTGGTTGGAGATACCGTGTAAGGGTTAAAGAGCCATGCTGAGGATGTGTTGAACAATACTTTAAAAAAGCAAAACTATAACTAGATGAGAGAAGTAGCTGAGCTGCTATTCTTACCATTTAAAGCAAATATGGGAATGAACCTGTTAAGATTTAATTGAATTCTGAGTGTTCATTTAATATGTATTTGCAGTCCAGCATAGGGTACTGTAATCATTTGCTACGTGCAGATTTTGTATAATGAACTCATAATACAGAATGCATAGTAAAATTCCTTCTGAAAAGGAATTTTGGCATGCACAATGACTGGTCAAAGAATCTCAGTTTTCTTGGTCATCTGATGTTGCTGTTTTTTAAGGACAAAAAAGGGAATGTATTTGGCATTCATTTATACAATACATGTTTGCACCTGAAGCTTCCTATTTAAAGTACAAGCTCTGCTGGATTACAACAGCTGAGTCATAAAGCCCACAGAATAAATGTCTGGCAGCGCTGCCATACTCGCAGTAAGGTGGTGCTCGGAAGGGGCTGCTCTCATCTCCTTTAACCTATGTTTCTATGTGCATTCAGTGTGTTTGTATATATATATGGACATGTGTGTATATTTATATATTCACATACATATATGAAATTAAGCATATACATAACCAACCCTCTATTTTTTATAATTCATCACCAAGAAAAATTGGATTCCCAAAATTACCTTGCCCAGAGTCTGTAGAAATATGGACCTTACAATCTTTATTCACGTAAATTTTGCAAGCCTCTTTGACGGAAAGCTTACCTTTCTCTTGCTATGTATCAGTGTTTTAGAATCTAGCAGACACATTAAACCTTGGGAAATAATCTATCATACTTTCATAATGCAGGTATAAATTGCCAAAAAGAGATTATTTTACATATCTCAAAAATCTGTACAAAAGACAGTCCCTGAGAGGTGAGGCTAGTGCAGAAACCACTGGTCAGTTTTAAATGCTTCTGGAGTCCTAATTTCATTTTGAACAATAGACCAATCATTATTGCTCTGGACTAGCTTGTTAGTCATGCACTGATATGTGTAATTAAATATTTCTTGGGCCCAGAGGGAGCACATTTACACTATAAAGAGGGACTGCTAAGCTAAAAAATAATTAGCATCACATGTGAGGGCTTTGCTTAAACTATATATCTATTATGCTATCACTTCTTGCTGTGTGCAATGGCATTTACTAACACTGCTCACTTTAAAAATGGACAAATTCTTATTTTGCCAGCTAATTAGCGGTTGCCAGTGTCATTTTTGTGATGTTGCAGCTAGTAATATGAGCCCAGTTGCATAGTCACAAAAGTGATCATTGGAAACTGTGACTCTGCTGCAGGGACAATGTGGGAAACCCCTTTTCTGAGCCTCTAACGACCTCTGACCTTTGCTTGCTGATGGTTTGCATGATGATTTCTTTTTCACTCAATGAGCCAAGGGTTGGTTTGTATTACTAATCATTCTTTCTAAGTTGATTCTTCTTGTATATGTATATATATATATATATATAAAATATATATTTTCTTCAACATTCAAGAACTTTGCTTATTGATGAATTTTCAGCTCACACTCACTAGCCAGAACTAAGAATGAAGTGAGATGTTGTTGCAGTTCTACATATTTACTTACACTATATACAGAGAAAGCTATGAACCAGCTGGATTGAAACCCTTTGTTTTAACGTGTTTTCTGAAATGTGTGATAATGAAAATGTTTGAAACCCTTCAATAAAACTGATAAACATAAGGTGTCTTTCCCTAATGTGCGTCTCTGATTGTCTGATTTTCTGATAGGTTTAGTTCAATTTGTCACTGAAAGTATATTAGGACTGTGGTAGGTGGCTAGTCACAACATGCAACTATCATATTAGCGGTGCCAAGGAACAAAGGAGCCACACAAGCAGAAAAAGAAATGGTAAATACCCCTCTAGTTCTTAGCCTTTGTGTAATCTACTAAATGCAGAAACTACCCTTCGCTAGTGCACGTGATGGGGGGAGGATAGCCAGCTGCTGTGGGGAATGCAGACTCGTTTTATCAGCTGATGTTAGAGACATTTTAAAAATAGTTTACTGTACAATGTGAAAAATGAAAGTGAGACTTTCGTATTGTATGTAGGTTGCTCCAAAATTAATGTCTCCTAATGATTCCCATGTGAACTGCAGCAGATACAGACAGCACAATAACACTACTCGATCGAGCCAATTCTCAGCTGCAACACTCTATTTTTCAACATAGTCACTACCATTGCACAAGTGACAAATGAGCACCGGCGCGCCATGCTTGTAAAAATCTGCATGGCCGTCTGGAACGTGGTTTGTCTTTCATGTTGCTGTCACCACTGCTGAAGTGCACCACCCACTGCCTCAGTGTGCTGACACCCACTGTTTGATCAACGCAAGCATCGATGAATGGCAATTGGTACAGTATTTTCTGCATGGAGGAATTCACTTCCACACCTTTGCTTTACATGTACTTCCATATCAGACAATGTTTTGTCAGGCTGCCCCTCTGCTGCCATCTGTCACACACACCAACAGAATGGAATGGAATATTGGTGGGAAGGCTCAGCTTCTACCACCACACCACCAACATTCACCTATGATGCTGAAGGCCAACAATTTTATTAAAAATAGGTGGCATTACTTTTGGAGTAGCCCTCGTACAGAAGGAGCTGATCCTCAGATACAAGCATGAATAGTCAAGTGACTCATTCATGCTAAAACTCTACTGCAGTTTAAGTCATTGAAACTATAGAAGTGTTTTGCTTGATAGTGCCTGTGTATGTCTGTGTTCATGGGCATATACATGTCCTATATAATTTCCAAGTTCAGGTGCTTCTTGCTTGTCACTTAACTCACTGAAAGTTTTTTTATGGCATTAATTGCTTGCATACAAGGGATATAAAAACACACAGAATATAAGTATGAATTTACATAAAAGAACAGAAGAGAAAGGATTGTGAAAAAAATCATGAATTCTAATGTTTAAACAGAATTATTATAAGAACTTAATATTATTATCACATTTGGTTAGAATCTCAGATAGTAAAAAGCAGAATGTGAAATTCCAGCTTCTTGCACCGTCATCAGCATCTCTGTAGCCTGTTTGGATTTCATTCCAGGTATCCAAACTCCTTGTCAGATTTAGAAGCTTAGGCATCTTCAGGCTATACTGTAAGCAATGTTATATGCATGCTTTCACAGCACAGATGATAGCGAATAGATGAAAAGCCAAGAAAGAACTGAATGATTCAGGAGGTTAGTTGTGCTTTAAAATTCATAACAACATTGTAGCAGTCACCAGATTCCAGCAGCTCGCTTCTTCATTTCAGCAGTTAGGATCTGTTGCAGCACTTGCACTAAGCTGGGCACCATCAGGGTGGCTGGGCATCCCTCAAAAGCTGCCTTATGATGTGATTTTAGAGGAGACCTAGATCTAGTAAGCTCAAGCATCTCAACAAGGAAAATGAAAGGTTTTGATTTCCTGAGGAAGCGTTTCACTGTTTGATCCTTTATTCAGCTTGCCTTGTTAGCATATGTGTGCATATTTGATGGGCTTTGGATGTGTAACATACTTTATATGCGAAATATATTCTGGAGCAGAAGAGAAGATTTGGGATTTTGGTTTTTGTAAGACAGTATAAATAGATTTAAGCCAACGTTGCAAGCTCTATTCTTAGACTAGGTGCCTTTGTTCGACTTTCATATCTGTACGTTTACTGTTTCGCTTCAGATATAGTCTCACCACTGAGAATCTTCAGCTAGAATGCTGGAGGAGGCCATCATATAAATATTAAGTGTTTAAGACCTTTGCATTAGACCCGAAGCAGTGCATCTTACAGATTGCTTGACTTACTTTTACAATAAATGGAATACGTTTTACATTTTTGTCAGAAGCTTTTCAGAACGTTTACTATTTGCTCTTATGGAAAGAATTGGTTTTACCAAACAGCTCGCATTATGTAAAGTATACCAGAATCACCATTTTTAATTTTGGATTCAGCTTGATGCCCCTCAGTCTTTCTTTGAGTAAGCTTGTGATCTCAAAGTTGGCTTTAAAATTAAAACATCTCATGATAATCTTTTTGGAGCTAACGTCTGAGACATTGGAGAAAGGAGATCATTTCCTTTGCCTAGCCAGGAGGGGATGTTATCTGGGACCTCTGCAACAGCCAAGCAGAAGCAAACTTTAAACAAGATTACGTATGTAACAACTGCTTGTTTTATCAGGAGATAATGAATTAGTTTATTTCAGGACTGTAATATTAGCTTTCTCATATTGCTTATTTTTGATATGTGTCTGAAGAAGCAATATGTAATACGCTTAATTAATTTTTTGTGTCTGCTTTTTTTCAGGAAAGTAAACAAGTGCTACAGGGGTCGCTCTTGTCCAGTAGTTGTTCACTGCAGGCAAGTACGATTTCTAAAATAGCTTCACAGAGATTTCTATGAGCAAGAAGTTAATATAGATGTAAGCAAAGCAAGCAAATGAAAGCTTTAGATGAACCACTATACAGATATTAGGGCAGGATGAAGATATTAAATATAAATCGTCTGGCTCTTAATGCTAAATAATGCTTAGGGTTTGTTTTCGTAATAAAATTATTTTTTCCTGTGATTTTATGGATGTTATGACTTGAAGTAGCACTGTATAGCCATCTTTACATATGCATATAATACTTCAATTTCTTCAGTCATCTCCTTCTAAGGAAGTGTTTTTCCATGTGTTCCCTCCTTTATTTTATTCACACTCAGTAAAGTTTTTTTCTTCTTCTCTTGCTTTTAGTGATCATGGTAAGGAGAGGGCAGTGTTAGGGAATGGAAGCCAATCCACAGATTGAGTAAACTTCTGGCCTGACACTCCTAGATGCAAACAAAATCTATTGGGCAGGTCAATGGAAAACTTTGCTCTAGGAATGTTAATGTTTGGTTTCAGGGATTCTAAATTAGAAGAAGAATGTTGTACTTCTTTATTCAAGATACTCTTGTGGACAGGAAAGGCAGAAAAAAACAGCCCCACTGAGAGGCAGGTTGTTTGACATGTGGCATTCCGCTGTTTGTGGGAGGGAAGAGGAGGAGCATGTGGTGTAAATATGCTGAGGTGGTGACTCGGCAGTTGCCTTCACCAGATGCCAGGAGGCCTTCTGCAGATGAGAGCAGCCTGGAGCAAGCTCCTTTGCATTGCCTTTAGGAAGCCTGAGAAAAGAAATACACCAAATGAAGAGCCATTTAAGTTTCCTACACCTTCCTTCGTATAATGGATGAAAATGTCTACTGTTCGTTCAATAGTTTTTTTTTTTATTGGACTCGATCCCCATTTTGTCTCTTGCTGTTCAGCTTAACTAATGAGATTGTGTCTTTGTTCCCTTTACAGCCATAGGAAAGAAATATATTACCATTACCTCTTTCTAAGCAGTGATCTAGGAACTGAAAGAGGGAAAAAAAAACCTGTCTACACAGACTTAACAAAAATTAAGTTTCACAGCCTGTCTATAAACAGAACGTAATAACATGCTTCACACTGTTCTATTATTTTTCCTTTCATTTATACTTGTACACAAATTGAGCTATCAATAAAAATAATGGCTTAATTAATAAACCTACATACAGTCTAATTGGTCACACATGCACCTTTGAAAAAATTTTGGAGGAGGAAGGAAAAAAAGCTTTTACTTAAAGTCTTAATTATGTTTGCTAACAACAGCTCTAACAGAGCATCATGCTGGCAATTACACATTGCTGTCTGAAAGGGACTCAAGCTGCATTCACATTAGGGAGCATTTCCCATCCCAAGGCTTGGTCTCACATCTCTGAGGAATGACTTAAGGTACAAAAAGTTAAAGCTGTTTCTCAGCAATTACTTGATAATTTTTCTTCTGGTCATTGCACCTAAACAACAGTTAAAGCAAAAAATAAAGAGAAAAATCACTCGTGACCTACACTGAAGAAAGACTGCAGTCCATCGTTAATCAAATATTTCAGATCTCAGACAGGTCTCTGCATGCATCCCACTGGCCACGCTGTTCAAGTATAATCCACAACATTTGGGGACAGTTCTAGATAACGCTTAGGTTAGGCTTATTCTGTAGTTCTTGAACTCGTATGCAGGTGACTGTAAGCACATTATATCTACACTTTATAGCAGAAATGCCGTCTTGTTTTAAGGTTACTGACTTTTCCACTTCTGTTTAAAATGTTTTTATTGCATAAACACAACTTGATTAAAAAAAAAATAAAATAAAACCAGGCCCTGTTATCGATGCAGGCTAAGCTTCCCCAAACAGCTAGTGTTAATTCAGGGCAAGCTTTCTCTCTCCTCAGTACCCTACATTTACCCTCATTCAGTCCTCTGCCTTCTGTGTGGGAGTATAACATAATGGCAGGTAACCTTATGTTGAGTTGAGATGCACATTGATAGGCTTATTTTTTCTTTTTCCCTTTCTGTTGGCAGTGATGGTGCAGGAAGAAGTGGAACCTACATTCTAATTGACATGGTTCTCAATAAAATGGCTAAAGGTGAGAATCAAAAGGCTTGTTACTTCCTCTGTACTGAAAGATGTGCTTGTGTTGCCATGGCAACGTGGGGAGCAATATTCACAGAAAAGCTGAGAAAAAATTAGAGGCAAATTGTACATTTATTTTCCTGAATGTTCTTAAGTTTTTATTTTCATAATGATTTCAAACAGCAAACCCAAATGCAAATGCTTTTTGAATGAACAGATGTTCTTGAGCTGTTGAGAACTATTTGAATTTTTTAACTTTTCATCATTGAGCATAGTTATCATAGTTTCTAGAAGAAGGTACTTTGAGGCTAAACAGTTCTTGCTTAATGATTATGTGGGCTAGGTCCTGAGATGCCTCATGGCCTTTGCCCAGTCTGCTGTCACCTATCCAGACATGATGGTCAAGCACAATTCCTTTTCTTTGTGCAGCTCCCTGTTATCACTGTATTTCACTGAAGAGGTGGTACCAGACAAGTTCCCTTGTGTACAGATTTGTCTTTTAGGAGGAAAAACGCTGCAGTGACCTTTGCATGAGACTGAAAATAAGTTATCTAGTTCACAATTCTGCCACTGTCTGTTCAATGTTGGAAAACTTAGTTAACTTATCAAGTAGGAAATCATCTGTCCTGTGGTAAACATATACTATTCTCTGTTAAAAGCAGTGCCTGTGGATTCTCTAGAGATTTGGATCATTATCTTATTGATCACTAAATGGTTTGCAGTGGGAATTGCTTGAGATGTCCTAAAATAATCTCTGTATGGCAGAACTAAACCACATTTTTAATACTGATGTGGTCTTTAAAAGGAGGGAGGATAAAAGTGGGCAGGTAAACCTGGCATACTAATCAACTTGATTTATCATGCCCCTTTCCCATGCCTTTGACCATGTTTGTATCACGCTGTGAAAGAACAGCATTTTAGAAGGAAGAATAACCTGTGAGGAAGAAAATAAATAAAAAATTGTTATTTGCCTTTCTTAATTCCTACGCTGAGTTCATAAGCTGCCTCGATCTGTTATTAAGCACAGTGTGTTTGTATTTATAGTAAAAGGATTACTGCAATAATGTAAATTAATTTATTTGGAGAAGTAATATTTAGTCCTTTGACTTCTAATCATTTTACAGTTGTTGCTGAAAACCTTCTAACATACTCTTATTTTTAGATGTGGTTTGAAAATATGCTACTTGCTTTGCAGTCATCTATTGCATCCACATATCACAGTCCTGTGGGGCATACTGATGTGATGCCCCTTTTTCCTCTCTGTGTTCTGACTGTTAACGTGGCTGGTCACACATGGACATAAAGGGACATGTTTTGTGCCTGTGAGCATAATGTGGAACTTGGTCCTGATGTTAAAAGAAGTTGTGTGCCTGTTTTCTTCTTAGCCGTACCCTGAAGATTTTCCAGTGGGATGAGATCAGTTTTTCATGCTCACTGGAAAATAGGTTTTCTCTCTGAGGAAATATGGAGATATTCGCAGCACTTGTTCCATTCCTTGTGACAGCCGAGTCTTTGAAAGCAGGAGCAATGGTACGAAGTAAAATTAATATACACCTTGTTAGGTATTTGTTCAGCTCACTTCAGTCATCAGAAACATGAAGCTGTGATGAAAACTAGATTTAAAACATATGCAATTTACTTGCATAAAAAAAGTAAATGAGAAGTATTTTCTAGCTCCAGGCTTTCAGCCACTTAAGGGAGGGTTGACTTTGTTGTAAAAGCACTGAAGAATGCCATTTATTGACTCCATTGTACCATGTAATGTCAAATTCCATTTTAAGTGCGGGCTTAGTGTTTCACAATACGAGACAAGTCATGTGAAACTGGCCAGAGAAAGGCGTCATAGGGCTTTTTGGAGATCGGTCACCCCCATTTTGTTCTTGACCTGCTCCCCTCTGCCGATGGGGGTGTGCAGCACGAAATCCCCTGACCTGGAGCTTTGGCTGGGGTTTAAATGAAAGATCAAAGGGCAGAGCGAGCATCTCAGCCCTGCTGAGGTGGGCCTTTCCCAGGCTGTCACACTGTGCGGCCACCAAAGGTTTTGTTCGGGAGGGAACCACAGCCCAGCCTGTGCGGCCGGGGCCCTCTTTGTCTGGCCTGAGAAGCTGGAGGCCCAGGTTGAGGATCCAATGTTCATCAAATGATCAAAGGCCTGAAGCCCTGGACATGAAATCTTTCTTTCCATTTCCTTTTCTTAGAGAATGAATTGCACGAGTGGCAAAGAATGCCGTTTCCAAAGCTTTTATGTGGAGTGCAAGGGCTAACTTCAGAGTCCTTCAGTGCTAAACATAAAAATGTAAGTGCACTTTCAATCTGGGCCCAGCTGCAGGGCCAGCATCTAGTAACATTTCTTTCAAAAAGGCTTTTAAGGATTAAGGCCTTCAGTCTTTCAAAAAAAAAAAAAAAAAAAAAAAAAAAGGACTTTTAAGAATAAACTTAGAATAATTTGAGTTTCTTGTTCCACTGTCTGGTTTATTAGAAAGTAGACAATAATGCATTTTTAAATCAAAGTAAATAGAGGAGTACTTAGTTTCGGCAGTGGGAAAGTAGAAAGCAATCAATAAATGCCTTGGCTCTTTAGTGGGGTTTTTAATGGGGTAGATGGAGAAAAGGAGCTCCTTTTTCATGTAATGATTTACTTCCCCACATTCTCTTAGACAGTTAACTGTAAACGCCTTTGTCATTAACAATTTTTTCCCCTACTGCTCATTGAATTAGTGCTAATACTTAGTCTATTAAGCATGTTATAAATTGGTATCTCCTCCTATCTCGCCTGTTGCTGTGCCTCATGTTATTTTACATGCTGAAAACCACCAGCAAGCGACCTGCTCCTTAAGCAGGGAGAAAGAAACTGAGGATTTGGTGCTCAACATCTGCTGCACCAGGCTGACGGCTGCAGCTCCACTGAGAAAGCAAGAGTGAAATTAAACATGAAAATTTAAAAAGGCACCTGATTTTCATGCACAGGAGAAGTGGAGGGGGTGGCAACGTCCCCTTAGAGGCCTTGCACCCCCAGGCCAGGGCTGGGTCTCAGCTGCCTGCCAGCCCGCAGGCCTCCCATAGCAGCATGGCAGCATGGAGGATTTCCTGTTGGGTCAAGGTTTTAATGAATTTCACTATTCTCTATACAATAAATATAATGGCTGCATCTGTGCATTCGCTCCAAATAGCCACATTAAATAATCTTATTAGGAACTGGAACAGCGAGAGAACAACGATGTCTATTCAGCACTGTCATTGCTGTGTCGTGTCAGTGGAAAGTTTTAAATGCAAGGATGTACTTCTGCTTAGTTGTTCCAGCAACCCAGTGCTTCTGTATATCATATACATTATTACCATAAGTATTTTTATTGCAATATTCATGAGCAGAGCAGTTACGAGGCCTTAGTCCTGTCCCCATCAAAGTGATAACAGAAACGATGTGATGTGGTGCCTGGCCTTACAGTAGCATGTGATTCTTACATGAATATGAAAATTGTTAGAAGAGTTACCAAAGTCACTTCTGATTTCCCTGACAGACAGGTTAGGGCAAATTTTAGTTTTAAGGAAGAAGTTTGTAAGTGATGTATTTGAGCTCCTTGGGTGCTTTCATGATTCAGATAAGCACCGAAAATGATAATCGGTTGTTTTTGTAGATAACAGTACTCCCTGGGTTTTTGACAGACTGTTTTGCTGAGGATGATTTCTGCTAAGAATTTTAATGTTCTTCATGTATTTACAGGTTTTATCTTTTGTTACTAAAGAGGATGAACTGTTTTAGATGAATTCACTTGATATTCCTTCCTCACCCTAAACTCACAGTAACTCTGAGCTGATGAGTATGGGGTTTTCTGTGATCTGCAGCAAATTTGGGAAGTTTCTGATTTCTTGTCCTTTCTGCAGTTGTATTCTAGTAGCTAAAAGTCTAATATATTTCAAAACATTTTTACTAAGTGTTTCTGGCATGTAAAAGAAAAGAATAAGATTATGGTTCTTCCTCCTTTCATTTTTCTGAACTGGGAGGCTTGGACAGTGTTGATAAAAGTTTGATTTTTAGATATTAATCCAGCTGGCAGCTATGTGGGTTTTGCTGACCATCCATTTTCTTGTGTTTGAACTAGCTGGAACGAGATGAGTGAAAGGGAAAGTGAATATGAATTTTCAACTCCTTTTAAAGTATTGATTTCAGAATTCTAAAACCCAGCAAAAAGATTTGATGTAATGAAGGCCAGCGTTTCTTCTCTCCCATTGAAAAGCTTGGATTATAATTGATGAGCGCATGCACTCTGGCCTGAGCTGACTGCAGAGGTTATCTCCTCAAGTCCTTTCCTTGCCCCCATCACACTATTGTCTGAGGGTCTTGTGAGTCCTGAGCAGGTGCAGTTTTTACTATAACATTTAAAGACAAAACCAAAGATTCCTAGAGTCGCCTTCTGACTCATCATGATCAAATGATTTTGGCTAATCTGAATGCTTGATGAGGTTTTGCTTATCTAATGTGTGGATTTAGTGATCATAATGAAGTCATGGAGTTGATTCCTCTCTGAAGGGACTTTATGAAAGAAAATTATTGCCCGTAGTCATGTTGAAATGGATTCGGTCTGCTTATTTTTCAATCCTTATGCAAAATTTGAGAACACTCCAGTGTTCAGTTGTACAGATTCAAGTCCCAAGCAGTTGATTTCTGACATGTTCTTGGTGAATGAGGGAGTATTTCTTCAGCCCAGAATCTACTTTCTCATGTGAAAATTAAGCTTCAGATACCACAAGTGTAACACTGATTGAGGGAACATGTAGTATAAATGCTTTTTAAAGGAATGTATGTAAGGTTAAGAGGGAAAGGAGTGTAATTAGAAATAATTGTAATTCTTGAGGAAAAGAAAAAATCATAGCAGAAAAAAAAATTAGAACTTTAGAATGCAATTATTTTCATGTCGTAAATCTGAATCTATTGCATCACTGTTTTTTGACATTTGTCTGAGGTAGATGATTCTCCTAGCAAAAAATGCAGGCTGGCAAAGCCAAAAAATTAGC